GAGATCCATAAGTGCTGCCATATTCTCCGAGAGCAGCTTAATTTCACTTTGTGTACATGGAATGTTCCTAACAAATGTGTGGTCCCAAGGAGCTGATGCCCAATGCTAGCTAGGGTCTCAGTATGCTCTTTTAATACAAATGGTAATTGTGTCCTTTGGCTTCTGTGATGGTGTGCTCCGTCCTCCCCCGCTTAAGCTATAACCAACAGAGGGGGTCCTGGTGGCTGCACCCAGCTTACATAGCCAAAGGCTGTCTGGAACAGGGACCCAGATGTCTCGCTGGTACGTAAATATGATTATAGGTCAATTGCTCTATAAATAGTGGACAGCTGTTGAGCTCTCCTGAACGGCAGTGGGTTGCACCCCAGGATCTCCGCTTGAGTAGGGGACTGCTCTCAAGGTTACTCCTCGAGGTTGTGAGATTCCTTATCGTGTCAGATACTCGGTAAGCGGATTGGGAATAAGTGCACTGAAACTTTGAAATCTTAGCTGAGTGACATAAAGGATTGATTGCACGCATATAATCCTTTAGACATAAACTGTTGACCAAATCTGAGACTAGGATTGCATCCAGTCACACCTAGACTCCTCTGAGTAGGAGTTCAGAAAGCAAGGTGGTCTTCTCTGAACCTTGTGACTCAATGGGAGGGTCTCCTCAACATGTTTGACCCTGTCCTGTATACAGTAAATAATCAAGTGTACCTTGCCATTGAATCTTGTTAAGCCACTGTCGCGTTTACTATCAAGCTTTGTTAAATCACTGTCCTCGATAAAATATATTGTTGCTTCTCTCTTGTGAGCAAAGTGCATCACTCCATCTGCGATAAATTGGCATAGTCAACAGGATGGCAAGTAGTATCAATGATTATTTATGGAGGCATGGAGTGAATCTGGCTCCCAACTTCTCAGAAGAATGGACTTGTGACTCTGTGCTCTATGCGGTAAATAATCAAGTTGCCAGTTATTTTCAAAGGCGTGGAGTGAATTTGAGTCTCAGCTTCTCAGAAGAATGGGCTCCTGGCAATTGGCATAATTGGGAAGCTGTTGAAGAGCACCTAAAACTCAGGCTGCACAAAAGCGATGTTAAAACCACTGCTTAGAGGAGCCCTTGGAATTCTTAACGTTGCAAAATGATGAGCTCAAGAAAGATGCATAACACAATAAGGGACTAGGTGATAACGCTCAAGATGCCCACAGGCAGCTCCCTACATGGGCAGAATTAACGCACGGCATTGTTAGCTACAGCCATGAAATGGGACAATGCACCAGCTGAAAAACAAAACCCAAAGCCCCAAAGCCCACAAAGTTCATCTCCTCCAGTGCCTTTCCCCGGAAAGGAAGACAACCCCTTCCTACCCCTCAGGGAGGAATTGCAGGGCATGAAGCCAAAAACTGACTAGTGTCTGGAAGACAATTGGGCCTGCCTGTCTGGGAAGAGGAGGCTTACCAGTGGATAAGTGATGATGGCCCATACATTTTAATTCCAGTTGGTCCCCAAAGACAATTGGTGAAGTTTTTAATATAGATATGGGAGCACAAATTTCACTACTAAGACAGCAAGATGCCAAGAAGCTGGGTGTGTGGTCTGCACGGCAAAGATTACTGGTGTGAACGGAGCGAATGTTGTGTGCCAAACTGCCAAGGTCTATTTACGGCTCCTGGGCAGGAAGTGCATGTCAACTACTCACTTTGCAGCTGAAGATCATCGTGAAAATATTTAAAGTTTTGATGTTTTAAATGGCTCAACCTGGTGCCCGTTGAAGGGCAGTGTGTGGTCCTTTGGTTCAAACACCAAGCCCAGCCCCAGCAGAAATCGGGAGGCTTCAGTGCATGTGCTCCATGCAGCCCCTGCACTCCCTCGTTCAAAAATTACTAACGTACTGCAATATCCAATTTCTGCAGCAGCACGAAATGAAATTTCTGAAGTCATAGCTGATTTGGAGAAACGGCAAATTATTTTCAGAACTCGCTCCCCATATAACTCACCTCCCTGGCTGGTTTGGAGACCAGATGGGAAGTGGCGTTTAACCATTGGTTATTGGTGCCTAAATGCTAATACAGCCCTGCTAATGGCTGTTGTACCAAACCTTGCCAACTTCACAGCTGCTTTGCATGCAGCTGCACACCCATGGATGGCGTCAAAAGATGTAAAAGATATGTATTTTATGGTTCCCTTGAAGGAGGAGGATAAAGAGAAGTTTGCTTTCACTTAGGAGGCAATACAATATACCTTTAGCAGACTCCCGTGGGGATATAAGCATTCACCCACAATTGCTCATGCTGCACTTGCTGAACTTTTACAGACAGTCGCAATCCCCCAAGATGGGGAACTGTACCAAAATACAGATGATATTCTGATCGGAGGAACTTCCCCTGAGATGGTGGGGGAAGCGGCAGAAGCAGTATGGAAACCACTAAATGAAACAGAAATTGAGATTCGAGCCAGAAGATATCAGGGACCAAGTAAAGAAGTAAATTTTTTAGGTATTTGTTGGATAGCAGGCAGTGCAGTGATTCCTCCAGATACTGTAAGAAAAATTGAAGAGCTGCAGATGCCCCAGTCAAGGAAGGAGTTACAACAATTAGCAGGAACTTCAGGGTATTGGAGGAAGCACGTGCCTGAATTTTCTGTCATTTCCCATCCATTACACTCACTTTTATGGAAAGGCAAACCCTGGGAGTGGAAATAAGAACATGAAGAGCCCGTCAAAACTCTAACTGAAGAATTAAGAATGTATCAGTCACTGGGACCAGCACACCTCTGCAACCCTATTACAGCTGAATGGAGTCTCACTGAACATGCTACTTACTGTAACCTGTTCCAAACTGGCCCTGATGGGCCAAAAAGACCTTTATTGTTTAGCTCAACCACATTTAAAGAAGCAGAACTATGATATTCTGAATGGGAAAAAGGACTTTTATTTTAAATACGAGCAGTTAAACAAGTTGAGAAAATGCATCAGGGACAACCTGTGCAAACTATAGGACCATTTAATTTACTAGAAGCAGTCCTAAAGGGGACTGCTCCCCCAGAAGGAGTTGCACAAAAACCCCACTATCAGACAGTGGTATGCCTACCCAACAGCGGTTGCAGAAAATATGCAGTTAACCAAAGGGCACTCTAAGATTTCCAAAGTGCAGATGCCCATAAACACAGATCCTTTAGCTTTACAACCTTCATCCTTTCTGAATGCACCGCAGAAAACATTTGGTTTATGGATGCTTCAGCAAAAAAGGGCAAATGGCAATATAAGGTCATTGCATTAGGTATTACCACCAGCAAACAAGTAACAGAAGAAGGTGAAGGCAGTGCACAAGTAGGAGGAATTTGAGCAGTTGTTTTGGCAGCACAGAATGCAGCAAAAATCATATATGTAGACTCTTATACTGTGCGGGCAGTGCCACACAGTGGCTCTGTCAAAGGAAAACCTTGAATTGGGAAGTAAATGGATCCCCAGTTTGGAGAAACAGATTGGCAATTACAACATCTGTGACAGCTTCTTGGCAGTACCTTGGACTGTGATGGTGGAATGGAGAACTTTCTTAAATGTCGTTACCCAGTTATCTAAGGTAAGGAGAACATTAGACGTTACTTACCCTGTTTTCATAATACCAGCTTCCCTACATCCTTACAGTACAGATACACCCAGTCACCTTTATAACTGATTCTGACCACAATTTAATAGTTACAATCTGAAGGAACTTCACGGTTCTGCAAGTGTTAAATGCAATTAAATACCTGACCATCTACTTGATTGCCCAAGTATTTACCATTTTAATGTCCGTATTGACTCTGGGTTTGCAATGCAAAATTGTGGCATAATACTTTTGCCTATCTCCAGTAGCAAACCGCAACAAACCCTTTTGTATCTTTTAAACATTTTTTACAGGAAAAAGCATTAAGAACTAGATGTTGATCTTTAATGTAGTTTTTAGTCATTCCGCTATAACTATCAGTCATGATACAAACCCATGCTCTATTACATTTACAGTCTTGTATTGTAAACCAGATAAATAATTGTTAATTTGCTGCAATCTATCTGTATGAATTATTGGAAAAATAGGAAGAAATAGGTTACTTTCATGTCTCTGATGAGATCATGCCCTTTACTGGCCAGGAGCTTGTACACCTAGTGTTGTATTAATAGGAAAGTGAAGTTAAATAATTACTTTGTTATGGAAACACCAACAAATAATTACCTGGTTTTACTTTCATGGATTTATTTATTAAGGAGTTAAAAATAAGTTCCTAAAAAATAGTCCTAGTAGTGTTGTAGAGACACTGCATACAGGCAGCTTCAACTTCACAAAATATTATATCCTGTATATTCGAGAAATTCTTCCTCTCCATGGTCCCTTGGCTGAGAAAATCTTAGTATTTGTGCAGTGATTATATCCAAGAGGATATAATCCCTGAAATCCTAGGAACAGA